GTTGAAAGTACTTATGAATTTGCTTTTTCATCGGAAAGTAAATATTTTTCGAAAGTCAGCTTTTCAAGATTTTCAAGCTTAACCCCCAGGAGAAAAATCTTGAATGCAGAGCTTGATAAATCTTCAAAGATTTCTCAAGTTTTGGCGCAGCTCTTTCAAGAACTTAAGCAGTTTATCGAAATCCGTCAAAATTCTGAATGAAAAGCAATACTGCAGATTTTCCACAAGTTTTGTGTCAGAATCTGTCGTGATAAATCTTGAGCAGATCTTGTCAAGATGTTTCGAGAATTCTGAAATTATTAATTTAATACGCAATAATCAGAATCTTCATTAACAGTATAATTGAAAAACATTTTTGTAAAATCATTTTACACAAGAAGCGAGCTTTCGATACTTCACAGTATCATCATCAGGCTAATATGACTGTGAATTTAGAAGAGAGATGAATATATATACTAGTTAAAACAGCGGAGAACGAAAATACTAGAAAAACTTAAACATAGAAAAATATGTAGTATAGAATCGAGTGACGGTTACATTTTTCTATTCTGGACTGTTATTTTCTAGACTGTCGACAGACGCATTCGATTAACAATGACTAAAAAAGAATCAAATCAAATTGATCTACCTCTAAGTCTTCAAGTATAATTTCAATAGGATTGAAGTCATGCCTTTTTAATCGATCTTAATAAGAAAAAAAGTAATCAATTTGAATCAGATTTTTCAATTTTTTTTGCATGAATTGCAGGCTTTAGAGTTTTCTATGTAAAATAGAGTGGGAAAAGAGAGAAATAAGAAGTTCACTTCTAAAAATTGTCGCTTTCTTTCACTGATATACGACTTTCTCCATTTCTGCTCGCTAATCGAGGATTTGCATCGTTTTAGCCAGCTGCTGTTCTTATCCTTTAGGTATTTCGTATTGTGGCTTGGCTATTCGTCATGTAACAAAAGAATTCGAATTACAAAACTTCATTCTTTGATGCATTTCGTATGATAGAGAATCACAATCAGCTAAAAACATTCGTGCCTTCGTTGATTCTCAACTGCTATCGTTTGGATTGATTCTGAATGATGGAATATTTGTAGTCTCAGACAATGAAAATAAGATGAAAGCCGCATTCAGAGAAAATTGTATTCGATTAGGGTGCTCTATTCACTATGTGAACAAGCAAGTAGAGCATGGATTTACATCAACCGAAATTGATAAAAAACCTATGAAATGTGAAGTAATACAAAAATTATTTGGTCATGTAAAGAAAATTGCGACACATGTTCGTCGATGCCATGCACAAACAAAATTGACAAGAAAAGTCCAAGTTTATTCAGATACCCGTTTCAATGGTGCTTTCTATATGATGAATGTCTTTTTGGAAGTATACGATGAATTAGCAGCTGTCGTCAATAATAATTACATGGATGATTTAACTTCCGTTGATAAGGACCTTTTGGAACAATTGTGTGATTTTTTGAAACTGTTCGACGAATCGACTGAGCACCTGAGTGATGACAACCGATCAACTATTCACAAGGTTATTCCAATAAGACAGTTGTTACTCAATCACTGCGAAATTCAAAGTGATGATAACGATGCCTTGAAGCAATTAAAAACATTTCTTGGTGAGTGAAAGTGATGAGATGCTTAATAAACAATAAAGTAAAAATAAGAGCTGTCTTATTTCGAAATAGGTTATTAGAGGTGAAACTTCATTTCGTTCAAGTTGAACTTCTTTTTTTCTTTAGGTGAACGTATCAGATTGGTATGGATACTTCAAGATCAACATTATATGTCAACTCTACTTCATCCGTTGTTGAAACACTTTCAGATCGCCCCAAACAAAAAGGATAAAGCAATACGACTAATGAAAGAAGAGCTGTTGAAACGAACACCAGTTGTCGATGTCACGTCTGCGAATACAACGTCTTCTTCGATATTACGGACAACAAATACAGCAGCAAACACTACTTCGAAGGATTTATTAGCGCGATGTTTTGATTTGCCTCAGCCAATCGTCAAATCAGTACCGATGCCAACAAACGAACTGAATGATTATATGGCACTTGATGTACAGCTCGATGAGAAAGATGATATTCTGATATTTTGGAAAGAACATGCGAAAAGATTTCCTATTTTGGCATCGATCGTGTGGTATTTATTTGCAATTCCAGCTTCCAACACAAGTGTGGAGAGACTATTTTCTTCATCAAAAAACACTGTAACTGATCGAAGAACTAGTCTGACTGCTGAAACGTTAACAAGTTATTATTTCTTCAGAAGAATCTGCCGATATTAAATCAGGGAAAAACTAGAGTGTCCGAACTAAATTGATTTGCTTACTTTCAGTTTCGACAGTAAGTTCTACTTTCAGCGAGATATTCTTCGACCGGAAACTGGCATGGCAATTGTCACACGTCACGATGAGATTCGTCGAGGTGCTCTTCGATTTGTATTTTGGACAGATTACTAGCAAGGCCACATTGCACGAGGAGACGTTTCCTTTGACGATTTTTTCACGTTGAAATGTGACGTATTCCCGGGCATCAGCAGCGTCTTCGTCAAATGGAACTAACGGACAGCCTGTGAAATTTTTTGTAGTCTTACATGTAGAACGAAAAAACAAGAGAAAAAATACTTTTGATGTCGCTCTTGAATGTTGTTTGAACGTAGCCTTGATCCATAGGATCCACACAAGACCGAACATTGAGTAACTCGTAACTCTGACCGTCTTCCACCTATCATATTCATATTTAAATCTCTTATTTTATTCCAGATCGACATTGCTCACATTGCCAGCCAAATTACCCCATGCGTAGACAATCACCGCACCGGTCATATCGGCAACAACAAATGTTTGTTGAGCTACTGGTAACCGTTTTTGTGAGACCTGATCGAACTTCTTTACTGTAGATACTTGACTGGCATGTGCTACTGTTCCACAGATGTCGACGGTGGCTTGATCATCGTACAGTTTCAGTGGTAAATTTCCAATTATCAATACATCGTTTTGAACAGGAGTGTGTTTGAAACCAACCGCTTTCGGACGAACAGTGGTCGTTTTCGATGCCAGATACTCACCTATCACATTTTTCAAATTAGTGTCGTTCATCAACATTTAACAGCAAGTTTTTTTTCCGTTGAAAAAAATTATTGTCATGAATGCACACAGAAAAAAAATGTGTCGTGAAACACAACATATTTCACGACACATCTGAGTGCGACACAGGGATTAGACTGCGACACATTTTCTCGCTTGACCATACGACACATTTTTTGCGACACATGCGACACATTCTTGAAGCAGGGTTCGAGCCTAGCTACCGTCGCTTTTGGCATTTATGCAATTTATTAGTAGATGATTCCCGTTCTCCCGTCATTTGAAATAAGAATTACTCTTATACCTTACTCCTGGTTCTCGAACACAATACCACGAAATCGTGAGATCAAGTCGTCTCGAGTCAATTTGGTCTCGATCAAACTGCTTCGAGACAGTTCGATCTCGATCATCGAGCTCTCGAGCTATTCTCGATCGATGACTGATTGAGAAGCAATTAAGAAAAGAAAGGTATTTAAAGATTCATAGATTCAGTGGACGAGTATGTCGCTCTTATATGTGGCTGAATGCGCACAACAGAACGGTGAATATATGCTGAGCGAATGTGCCACGACACAAACGAAAATGCGACACATTTTCTTTCTAGAGTCTGCGACACTATTGCCAGCAACACATCTATACGACGCATCTTTTTTATGTGTGTGGCTTCGACCAAATTCAGACGTGCGTAAAAAGGGAAAAGTTGTTTAGACTATCCCATTCTTTTCAACACTATCGATAATGATCAATTCTTGGATGCAGACAGATCAAGTTGCACAAAAAAAGGATGATTTTTTCTCTGGCGTATCCGAAATAGACTAATAATTGTGTTTGTTTTCCTGCAGGGTCCGAAATATTTTTAACGAGCACATTGAAGAACGAAAAGGTGAAAGAGAGATCTTATTGCATTCATTTTCTGCTGTTATCTCTGCTCGTATTTAGTTGGGATCAAACAGACTTTCAAAACCTCTTTCTACTCTCCTTTTTTTGTTTTTTCTTTTTCTCGCTCGCACCTGCATTGATGAAGAAAAATGTGCGCCAACAACAGAAGAGATAAAGATAGAAGAGAGAAGCAAGTGTCGAACATTTTCTATAGCCTCAGCATATGGCTACCGCTGCGTCTAATAATACAACAGTTTGCCAAATTGTCTATGTTGCACCACACGCTGAAGAAGCCATGACCACGATTTTGGCTATACTGAATCGCTATAACTTTGGCATCAAGCCCGTATCGATTCGCGACGGCATGATACTCTACATGTGTATCAAACGTGATCCAGCACCAGCTGATGTCGCTCAACTGACGAGAGAAATGCAAGCGGCACTGGCACGATCTAAAGCCGGAATCGGTGGACAAAAGTTTATCCAATGGACGTTTGCTTGATCTATCGTTATAGTGGTGTGTGAATATTTTTACTATTTTTTGGAATAAATTGAGCACTGCAGGCAGCCGATGGAACTCTTCTTGTCCCTACCCTAGCAGTCAGAAATGGACAGAAAACGTGTTTAAACCTGTTCATTATCGTGATGTTGTGCCAAAGAGCTTTGTTTTGACATTGACATATTGGCAGATGAATGCTTCAATCAAATTGTATTCGTTTGTATGATATAATCGAATGAACAACAGAAAAAAATCAGCCATCATGCAACATGAGAGCGATTGATGTATTTAATGAATAAACGTGTGTGTAACTCGATAATTTCAAGATAAAATAATTGAACTAAATCTCGTTCGCATGATGATTTCTCATGTGAAAGCACTATCGATGATGGGAAAAAAACAAAGAAATAATTGGATATTTTGTTTTACATGTTATCATTGTAGCTGAAACTTTTTATACAAATACTAGACATTATTTGGGATGCTTTTGCTTTTTATTCCTTTTTTGAACGCACTGTTGAGGCAAAATTAAACCAAATGCGAAAAGTACCATAAAAACTGCTGTCTTTTCGAGTGAGGCTAATGTTATGAAACCTGCCAGAAAACCAGTGGAGCAATATTTTCAAACCCAAAAAAATAGGCACCCGAAACACTATCTAGTATGTGTACAAAAGCTTTCAGCTCGATGGGTCTTACACTTCTCGGAGAAACTAGGGTGTTTCAGTCATTTTTCCGTTAAAAAGTTGGTTTTGAGAAAATCGTGCAGCAAAGTAAAACGCCCGTTGTTATATTTCGGGTTATTTCTTTGCTTCATGCATAGTTATCGACTATTGCGCTTGCAGAGCGGTTAGGGGAACCCATCGTTAATCCATCCACATATTTTGACGATGAAATACCCTTTCCAGTAGGACAAGAGCTCGTCGCAGCCATTAAGTAACTCCCAAACAAACTACTAATAACCGACAGTCGGTGCACTACGAACAGGACGAGATACCCGTTGAGAAGAATGTCCGTCAGAGAAGAGGACGAAGTGCTGACAGTCAAAGTTGAGAGCGCGAAACTAAACAGTAAGATGTCCCGAAAAATAAAGCATATGATGCCAAAAAATAGGGAATGTAATGCTAAAAATCAGGATTTAACGCTACAAAGCTTTCAGCGCAATCCCTGCTGGATTAAAATGTGAAACACGATGGAGCTGTTTTGCTAAAAAAAAGAAAAAAGCTTATTAGCGCAGCTCCAACGAGGTTACAATGCGAAACTCGCACATATTCTCATGCTTTACACTCGGAAGACATGGATACAGTTTTCGTAAACTTTGTATGAAGCCAGAATAGTTTGAGCTAAATGCGCATCTGTCTTTCCATCTAATTCATGTTTCATTCAAATATTTTCTGTTTTCTCCTTAGCGCTCTTCTCTCTTCTTGAACTGTTACTATGCTTCTGTAATTAGTTTTCCTATTTCATTTTGATTTCTTTTTTGTTCGTGATCGGCTGCTCCTGTTTAATGCTCATATTTATGGCATCATCTCAGAGCATCGCAGCAACGGATACTGTTGCTTTGCGTATGTGTTCGGTCGCTTTCGCCAGCATCTCTTGTTTTCATAATCTTTCTCGTGTGATAACGTGGGAAATTGATATGCTTCCAGTCACCCTGTCGAAGGCTATGACAATGACACCACTTATTCATTGAGCATTATAATCTACTCGTTCATCTTTGATCTCTGTTCTTTCTTTATAGAGAGGGGTGGGGTCGAAGCTGACGTTCTTTTCACCTCGCCATAGGCGTGACAGACATATTTCTTATCGTGTCTGTCACGGTCTGTGATGGTATAGATGCCTCTTTCGACAGGTCTGGGGGGGGGGGGGGGGGGGTGGGAAATTTTCACCCCAAAAGGAAAAACAAAAATAAAAAAAGGTTTTAAAAAAACCCCAAACCCCAAAACCCAANCCCCCCCCCCCCCCCCCCCCCCCCCCCCCCCCCCCCCCCCCCCCCCCCCCCCCCCCCCCCCCCCCCCCCCCCCCCCCCCCAGGTCACTTTTCTCCCCCTATGCTTCAACACTCATTAACAATGGTGTTTCACAAACGCTCTCAGCGCAATCCCTATGGGATTAAAATGTCAAGCACAATGGAACGGCTCTAAATCGTAGAGGAAGACGCTCTCCATATTGATCACGATCCGTGACAGTGTCAAAGAACAACATGTCGAATTTCTATCATGGTCTGTGACAGGGACTAAAAGACCATATCACAAGGAAAAAACGGATTTTTTGGACTTCAGGCTCTCACATCTGCTCAAAATCCAAAAACCCTTCAAAATCCGAAATTCCAAGGTTCAAAAATCTAAAATAGCATGTCGAAGTATCTTTCTGGGTCTGTGACGATTTAGATATATTTTTCATAATTTTATCAAAATGTCACTCTGGCAGGCCGATGTTACCATCAGCCCGCACGATTTCGTCATCGCGACATGTATTTGGATCGGTTCCGATCCTTACCTCTTGCTAGTAAGTTGTACAAGCAACCTCTTTCTTTGGAGACGCCGCTCAACATGACTCCTGTCACGACACATGTACACCGACAGAACGGAAATATGATGAAGCGCAACGTGTACGGACGGCGATCATCTCCGGCGCCGGTTTACAATGGAGAAAGTTGCTTATTACAACTTACCAAGAGGTACGGATCGGAGCCGATCCGAATACACGTTGCGATGACGAAATCGTGCAAGCTGGTGGCAACACTGGCCTGCCAGAGCAACATTTTTCATTAATCAATATGAGAGCAGAGAGAAGGCTAATTTCCGGCGATTGCGAACATGTCGTCATCCGTGTGGCATCGTCAGTGATGAAATTGACGAGAGAAAGAGATGATGACAACCACGGGTATGAAAATTGAACGAAGGAATGATGAAAATAATTAGTGGAAAGCCTTACATTCTTATTACTTCGTGGGCTATAAAAACTAAGCCCTTCGGCTTATAACGTTCTTCAAGGCTTTATGCCAGCGGAGTTTTGGAGGCCCAAAGTTTAAAAAATACATTTTTTACGCTTCTTTGATCTCCCAGTTGTCTGCTCCTTCTAAGTACGTAGGTTTCGATACACCATTTTGTAGAGAATTGAATGGCGAATCTTTTGGTAAAAATCCCAATTCTAATTCTAGGCGATTTAAAGAACGTGAGAAAAATTGAAAATACTATAGGGCTCATTTCCTTCGGCCCACCCGTCCGTCGAACAGCCATTTTGCGAAAAGAAGGAATCGACAATGAAAATTTTTTCGTGACAGAAGCACGAAAGAGATTAGAATGAGCAGCGGAAACTAGTGGAATCTAAACTTGGCTGCAGTGTGCACTCCTCTATGTCTAGCGTCAAAGAGTGTGAGAAACGCTGCTTGATCATCGTGTGCGTTTTATCGTAGTAACGATCATTCGTCTACCGTCCGTTTTATGTCTTGGAGAACATCAAAGCTAGCGATTTATTTCATGTTCCATATTAACAGATGGAACACATTCGAATAGTAATGCGGGCTTGATATCAAACAAGACTTTAAAGTTGAATCTTTATTATTGATATAGATTTGATTATACCTTCATGCCATTCTGACACCCAAAGAGAAAATGTCTATAATGCATCAGCAGTATACAAATCACCAGATTTCCGGTGACTATAACAAACCTTATTTAGCAGTTGTGAAGAAATCCATAGTACACAATAAAAATTAAAGTGAATAATTGCCACAGGAAACATGAACGCCATGCGATGCCCAGGGAGAATCTAGTGTTTCCCTGGTCGCTAAATTTAGTTACATAAGCATAAGGGATGCAATGTCTCAAATCAAACTGTAAATGAAATCACGACAGAAATGATGATTCTCGGACACAGATAGTCTCAAGCATCTAATTTTTTTGAGGAATTTTGAGCAAGTTTTGTCGGCGCAAGTTATGTCGTGTAATACATTGTGCGTCCAAATGTCGTTGGGCCCTGGTGGCACGCGCGCCCAAATGTTGGCGCCCAAGAGTCGGTATACATCTTTTCTATCATTCATCTCTTGAGAATAACTTTTCGACTACATATTCGATAAGGACGTACTCAGACGTATGCGTTTCGGATATTTCTCTTCTGTTTGTTTATTGGATAGGGCGGTAAGTTGTCATTTCTTCGTCCACGTTTCAAAGACTATTTTTCTGTTAACACATTTGTCTTTCTTTCGAAACTCCACAGAAACTAAGGTTGTGTATCTTGTGGATTTTGCTTTTCCCTAAGAAAAGGACAGACTGTGAATATTTTGTTTAGAAAAGAGTCCTGAAGTTAGTGGCAGATATGCAACTCTTTGTAGGTATACATTCGACTCTGAGAGAAGCTCTTGCTTTGGGAGAAGGTAGTTTTTAATCAGACTTTTTTCTCAACATGTCTATGAGTTTTATAGGCACTAACTAAGAACAAAGGTTTTATCATTTGAAAATCACTTTTTTGCTTTCCAACGTGAGATTCTGTCCCTTATATTACCCTAAAGAAATGTCACTCTTTCTTCAAACATCATACTCTCGCTTAACTTCAACTGCGTTTTCTGAAGTTGTTAAAATCCATACATTTTAGAGACAATCACTCAGACACTGGTGAAATAACTTGTGGTAATATCGATAAAACACGTTTTAATGGAGATTCCTAGGAAGAAATTTTGGACCCTCGCAGGTCCTTTGCACGCATTAAAAAATTTTTTTCGTCTTTAAGGCCTTAAAAACCTTCTTTTGACACATTTCAAGGCTTTACACGACTTTGAGATTTTTAATGCGTTCTCTGGAGTTACCCATGTGAACTAAACACGTTCGTATGCGTTATTTTTATAAATGTCTTTAATGTATGTAAAATTTTAATGCATTGTAGCGTCTTTAGAAAACTGTCTCGGACTATAAGGCTTCTCAGGCGTTATAGAATAAGGCGTTCGAACGCCTTCCGGTTTCTCAACTGACTTGAGTTCATACATCAAGTAGAAGGCGTTAGCAGAAT